CACACATCGCAATAATTTTACTAACCCAAAGACTGCTGTGAAGATGGAATACATAGGTTCATTCCCTCTAGTACCTCCCAAAAAGGGTTACAATTTTGTATATCCATTGAGCTCATAAAACGCGAAATTATCATCCGATTCCATTTAGACTTGGCACATCTCAATATTTCTATCAACGCATGTTCTGTCATATAGATAGTAGAGATCAGAGCATTCCTTCTGGTACGTTCCCCACGAAAGGTCAAGGTTATGAATAATCCAATTCTCTACAAATTTCACACACACAAGTAATTTTGCTAACACAAGATCTGTTGTGAAGATAATATATATCTGCCAATTCCTTCTGGTACTTCCCCCACAAAGGGTCAAAGTTTTTAATATCCAAAACTATTTTTAAATCCGAAATAGCCATCCGATTCTCCTCATATTTCACACATCTCATTATTTCTACTAACACATGATCTGCTGTGAAGATAGGATATATCGGTCCACTACTTCTGGTACCTCCCCCACAAAGGCTCAAAAGCTTGAATAATTATAACTCTCATAAGATGGGATGTAAGAGTCCGATTATCTTCAAATTACACACATCACAATAATTTTATTAACCCAAGGACTGGTGTGAAGATGGAATATATCGGTCCACTCTTTCTGGTACCTCATCCACAGAGGGATACCATTTTGAATATTCCTGAAGCTCATAAAACGCAAAATTAACATCCTATTCCATTCAGACCTGGCACATCTGAATAATTTTATCAACACAAGATCTGTTATATAGATGGTAGAGATCGGACCATCCCTTCTGGTACCTCTCCCACAAAGGTTCAAAGTTTCGAACAACCAAAACGATCATAAAATTTAAAATAAGCCTCCGATTCTCTCCATATTTTACACTTCTAAATGGAATGTATCATCCCACTCCTTCTGGTACCTTCCCCACAAAGGGTCGAAATTTTGAATGCATATGAAGCTCATAAAACGCGAAATTAACATCTGATTCCTTTTAGACTTGGCACATCTCAATATTTTCATCAACACAAGATCTGTTATAGAGATGGTAGAGATCGGATCATCCCTTCTGGTACTTCCCCCACAAAGGGTCAGGGTTTCGAATATCCAAAACGATTTTTAAATTCGAAATAGCCATCCGATTCTCCTCATATTTCACACATCTCATTATTTCTACTAACACAAGATCTGCTATGAAGATAGGATGTATCCTCCTTCTAGTACATTCCCCACAAAGGGTCAAAATTTTGAATGTCTATGAAGCTCATAAAAAGCGAAATTGAGCTCCGATTCCATTCAAAATATTTCTCTCAACCAGAAACCTGAGATGAATATGGAATTTATGATTTCGCACAAAATCGGATATAAATGTTCGATTTTCTTGTAATTTGCGCATACCAAAATTTGTATCTGTATTACATGAACTATGAAAATGGAATACTTCGGTCGACTATATCTAATACCTCACGCCCATTTTAACATTTTCTAAAAATTATCACATATCTCATAAAAAGGGAAGGAAGTAGTAGTCCAAACCTGGCAGGTCGCAATATTTATATCATATTTGTTTAGGTCTGATACGAAATTTGCAATAGTGACCCATTCCTTCGGAACCTACTCCATAGAGGGTCAACCGTTTGAATAATCTTAACAGAATTCAAAATGTATTTAAATAATCGAACAATGGCTGAGGGTATACATCTGTCGGCAAAATCGACTGATACTTTTTAAGTTGCTTATTTTGTCAATTTTTAATTTGATGCATTTTAAAGGTTTTCTTTAAGGGTTTTCATAATTTAGAAATCTTTTTTCAATATTCGACCTTAACAGGCCTTTTATCTGAAAAAAATTTGCTTAAATTTTAGTTTCCCCAAAATTGTGATTTAAACTATGCCTTGTATTCTATGCAGTTTTCAAGAAATTCCGGTATCTGCACACACACTCGCACCCACAAAGGTGAATGTATTTTTCTGATTTTTACGAAGAAGCATTGCCTTTAGTATTTTATGATGAGGATACGTACAAGAAGAAGTAAACACAAACAACTTTATTCTGAAGGGTGAACATTCATATTTATATAATAATTCATGTGTGGAATTTCGAGGATGTGTCAGTAACACACATAAATAATGATTTATGACATCTATAAGATACCATAATGTGACGATGAAACAAGAAAAATAATATTGAACAGGTCATAAGGTAGCAGTCGGGTTTGCCAACTGATTTTTACCCTCAGACAATGTTTGATTATTTTAATATATTTTGACTTCTGTTGTTCAAATTGTTAACCCTCTATGGAGTAGGTTCCGAAGGAATAGTCAAATTTTGTCCATTTCATATCGTACCTAAAAAAATATCATATAAATATTGCGATGTGCCCGGTTTGGACTATATGGACTGCTAACTTCTCTTTATCTGAGATATGTGAAAATTTTTAGGAAATTATAAAAAATGCATGAGTTACTAGATGTAATCGACCGAAGTATTATATTTTCATGCTTCATCTAATAAACATAAAACTATTAATATGACCAAAATTATAAGAAAATCGAACATTTATATCCAATTTTATGCGAAAACATAAATTCCATATTCATCTCAGGTTTCTGGTTGAGAGAAATATTTAGATATAGCAATTTGTAAAGAATCGCTGACTTGTTTCGCAAGTTATGACAGATAAAAGTATTGAATTTTTGTGGGTGAGGTACCAGAAGGGGTTCGCAGATATATATCATCGTCACAACAGACCTTGTTTGTATGTGTGAAATTTGATGAGAGTTGGATGCTTATTTCGCTTTCTTTCAGCGTTTTGTTTTTTTTTTTTTTTCAAAATCTTGAACCCTATGTGGGGCAGGTGCTAAAGAAATGGTCCGATCTCTAGCATCTTTATAGCAGATTTGTGTTGATCGAAATATTTAGATGTACCATGTTTGAATGGAATCGGATGTTGATTTCGCTTTTCATGAACTTCATGGATATTCCAAATTTTGAGCGTTTGTGGGGGAGGTACCAGAAGGAGTGGACCGATATATTCCGTCTTAATATTAGATTTTACGTTCATAAAAGTAGTAGGATATATGAAATTTGAAGACAGTCAAACTCTTAAAAAACATTTCTTTGGTCATTTTTTAAGAGTTATAATTATTAAAAATTTTGATCCTTTGAGGGAGAGGCACTTGACGGAGTGGACCTATATTATCCATTTTGGCACGAGACCTACAACTGACGCAAATATTAGGATTTGCTAAATTAGAGCAAAATAAGATTATTGCTTCCCTTTCTGTGCAGAAAATATTTTTTTTTTTTGCAAATTTCGATCTTTTGTGGGGGAGGTACCAGAAGGAGTGGACGGCTGTATTCTATCTTAACACCAGACCTTGCGTTAATATAAATATTGGGATGTGTGAAATTTGAAGATAATCAGACTCGTACATCACATTTTATGAGAATTGTAATTATTCAAAATGTTGACCATTTGTGGGGGAGTTACTTGATGGAGTGGACCGATATTGTCCATTTTCGCAACAGACCTGGCACTGACGCAAATATTAGGATTTGCAAAGTTGGAGCAAAATTCTCTTTCTGTGCAAAATATATATATTTTTTGAAAATTTCGACCTTTTGTGGAGGAGTTACCAGAAGTAGTGGACCGATATTGTCCATCTCCGAACTCAATCTAAGTTTGACAAAAAATATTACGATGTACTCAGTTTGGACAAATTCGGATACTCCCTTCGAGAGTAATCGCGCGCCAGCCAGACAGACAGACGAACGGACATCGCTAGATCGACTCCAAATGTTCTGAAACGGATTTGGTGCAAAGAGACCTAGTGTCTAAAGCCGTTATTTCGACTGGGCACGTTTTGGCCGTATCAAATGATATATACCCCCTTTTATACCCTGCACCACACTATGACATTCCAATGAGAAAACATTCGTTGTCCAGCAGTGATCGTGTTTACTTGCCAAAGAGATCAGCTGAAAATGTGCACCTTCGGTTGGCCACCAGAACTCAAGTGCCGGCGCCAGCCATGGTGATAGTGTGGGCCGACATAACAGCCGATTGTCGCTCTCCGCTCGAATTAATCGACCGTGGCATCAGAATAAATGCCGAATATTATCGCGAAAATATTATGGAGGGTGTATTAAAGCCTTGGATAAGCACGCAAATATTTTTGACGCAGACCTTGGACATTCCAACAGGACTCAGCACCATCGCACTCAGCACGTGTCACCCAAGAATGGTTACAAAATGAGGTTCCTCGCTTCATTTCCAGCGCCCAATTGCCACCAAAATCTCCGGATACCAATCCTCTAGAACTATTGTGTCTGGAGTATTTTGGAAAGCAAGGTTGGCACTAAAAAATACCAAAGTGTCGATCACCTCAAGCTAGCTCTTTGCCGGGAATGGATGAAACATTCGCAGAGCAACATTCGGGCAAAGGTGACCAATTCGAATAAATCCATTTAAAAATCGAAGAAAAAAATCGATATAATTTAAATTACAAAAGGAACAATTCGGATTACAATTGGAATAATCCCAATTAAAAATTGAATAGTTCGAATTACAATGGGAATTATCGAATTAAGACTGAAATAATTCGAATTACAAAGGGAATTATTCAAAATAAAAATGGAATCATTCGAACTTATATTGAAATAATCAAATTGCAACTGAAATAGTTCGAATTCCAAATGCATTTTCTCGAAAATCGATCGACATAGATTCGTTTCCTAGTACCTCTGGCTGTAAACTTTGCCCAAGCTAGTTCCTAATACAAACAGACACATCACTGTAGGGTATTAGAAAGTAATGCCACATTCCAGAGATAATGCTTTCATCTAATCGAGAACTGCTTATCTCTCCGCAGTCTGGCCTGCTAGCAAAAACCCGTGTGGGTCACACGTTCGATGATAATCTGAAAATAACCACAAAACAATTAACAAAACAAGGCAGAGAGCAAACAAATAAATAATAAATAATTACGTCTGTCTATTGTTTCGGCATCATTCGGCCACTAGTTAGTTGTTTTCACACACTTCACGTCAAATCATGTCAAAATAAGGCGAGAAAGTATTCAATTTTCGTTTTCCGAGCCAGTGGTCGAGCATTGCGAAATTTTAGCCGGCAAATTTTATGTCAAAACAAAATGAAATATTTAACTGTAATTGTATTTGTTGTAGTTGTCACATTAGCACAGGTAATAAATCGGGATAAACCCTCACACAATTTGCCCGGAAAATATTATTTTTCTCTTCTTTCAGTTGACCCATGCCATAGAGAGACAGAAGCGTAGCTCACAGACAGTACAGGATATTATTGAGAAAGCAACGCTGGGCAGACTCCTGGTACCCATTAGCGAAACCGTGGTGAAAGCAACCATCCCCAAAATACCCAAACGTCGACCATACCGGAAATATCGCAAAGAACTGAAAGCCTATTTGAACGATGTAAAGGAGTACAAAACCGTGCGCGGTGGCTGCTATGCCAAAACATTTGATTTGCTTGAAAAATTTGGAAAGATTTTAGAAAAATTCCAAGAAGACGACGCTCCCCAGGAAGCTCAAGATATCCAGAATCTGATACAACAATCTGGTGGCAATGACATGTCGGCGCATTGGTTGCGTTACAAAGCTCTGCATTTTGGCAATACCTACGACAATATGAGTGTTGAGGATATAAAAGAGTTGACGCCACATTTACAGGAAATATGCTGATAATTCGGGTGTAGTGATTATGTGTATGCGTGTGTATGTGTGAGGTGGTATTGTGTGTATTTTTTATTTATGAAGTTGGAATAAACGAAGTTTTTCTAAAAAATAAACATTTTAATATAATTGAAACAATTAGAGTTTTTTCAGCCTGTTTGTTGACCGATGTGTACCTTCAGAAAATGATTGTATATCGTACTTTTATAATTTGATTTTTCGAAAAATGTCTATGTAATTTGTATGAACTTTGTACACTTCCTATTTATTTTGCCCTACAACACTATGTGTTAGGGGTATTATAAGTTTTATTGGGCCAACATTTATGTAAAACCTCGAAATATTGGTCCCCGACATAGGAAACCATATATGGATCTTTCTATCCCGCCGAGCTGAGTCGATCTAGCTACTTATGTCCGTTCGCTCGTCTGTCCATGTTAATTTATAATCACGCTACAGGCACAATTATATTCTGATCCTCACTAAATTGAGAATGGATGTGGGGATAGGGTCAGAATAAAAGTCTATTGCTTTTAGTGATGATCACAAAAGGTTTAGGGGTTGAAATGGACCTAAAACTAAAAAATTTCCTGATTTTGCAGTTGCTCTACAGGTCGCAATTATAGACCAATCGACATCGAGTAATATTTAGTGAGTGAAATAGACCATAACATTGGTGTTAAATAAAAGTAAAATTTTCCATTAAACCGCGAATATTTTTAGTCCCGGCGAAATCACAATTAAACGAACAGGCCAATTCTGACCGTTAGGTAGATGCCGATATTAAATATATCGAATATATAGCGAAATATATACAATGTGTATATATGCATAGGAAGGGGTTGTTAGTTAGAACGCTTATATCTCAAGAATGATTGGACCGGTTTTGACAAATTTTGTCAATTCAGAATGCCCTCTTGACATAAAAGAATAAAATCTAAGAAAATCGCATAAAAAGATGTCAATAATGATCTTAATATAGCTTCTGTAGTATTTTGTGATACTTTTTTATTTTTTTATATTTTTTATCGCATGCGATTTTTATACCCTACACCACAAGGTGGTCAGGGTATTACATCTTTGTGCATTTGTTTGTAACAGACAAAAGGAAACGAGCTAGACCCATAGTTTCTTTTGATGATCTGTAAAGAATCACATTCTGAGGAGATTTATGCATGTCCGTCCGTCCGTCTGTCCATGTATTCTTGTGAACAGAATGCAGGTCGCATTTATTATCCGATTAAGATAAAATTTTGCACAAATCATTGGTTTGGCCCAAGGACGAACCCTATTGAAATTGGAGATAATCGGTAAAAATTTAGATATAGCTCCCATATATATCTTCGTCCGATTTGCCTTTTATTATGCACCAAACGTGTAATACCAGCCCAAATAGTATGAAATCTTGCACGTATGACCAGCAAATGGGCTGGAATTTGGCACATACGACCAAAATGAGTCTAGAAGGTAGTATGCCAAATTTGGTGTCGCTTCAGATATAGCTATAGCTCCCATACATATTGTTCACCGATTTGTTGAATTTGCCCTGCATAGCGGTAATATGGACTCTGTAGTAACGATATTCGGGGAAATATATCAAATACAGCTCAGAAATACCTTTGCCAAATTTCATCGAGATTGGTTCAGGTTTAGATATAGCTCTCATAAATATCTATCCGATTTCAAGTTAATTGTTCACCAAAAGGATAATACGAGCCACAATAGAAATTAGTAGAAATCGATTCAGAGGAGGATATTCCTTCCATATATTAGTTCCTTTGGACTTTTAATTATTACTATAATCATTGTTGGTATGATTTAATTCTCAAAAATTCCCTATTAAAACTTATTTGTTATGTGAATCTCTACTAAATATGCAAAGTGGTGTAGGGTATCATAAAGTCGGGCGGGGCCGAAATATTTATACCCTACAACACTATGTGTTGGGGGTATTATAAGTTTGATTGGGCCAGAATTTATGTAACACCTCGAAATATTGATTTCCCATATAGGAAAGTATATATGGATCTTCCTAGCTCGCCGAGCTGAGTCGATCTAGCTATGTATGTCCGTCCGTCCGTCTGTCCATGTTAATTTGTAATCACTCTACAGGTCGCAATTATGGCCCGATCTTCACGAAATTTAAAATGTAGGTGGGGTTAATGTCAGAGTAGAACCCTATTTCTTTTAGAGATGATCGCCAAATGTTTAGGGGTTGAAATGGACCAAATACTGAAAAAATGTCGGATTTTGCAGTAGCTATACAGGTCGCAATTATAGACCAATCGACTAGAGACCAATAGACCAATCTAGCTAGAGTTTAAGCCGGGGAAGAAGCCTACCAATTTGTGTGGTCATCGGATAATATTTAGCGGCTAAAATAGACCATATCTTTTTTGTTGAAAAAATTCAAAATTTTTTTTTTAAACCGCGAATATTTCATATCCCTGCGAAATCACAAAACCATGACAAGGGTACTTCTGATCTTTACATTGATGTTAAGATCCAACAAATAGAATATATAGCAAAATTTGTGCGATATATATGTCTTTCGAAGAAGATATGCTTGAAAGATCTATTTTATGTCGAGAACGGCTGAACTGATTTCGACAGTTCTCATTAATTCAGAATGGCCTCTTGGCAGAAAAGAAAAAACGCCTAAAAAATCGCATAAAAATATCTCTCTAAAGATGAAAATATTGATTTTGTAACATTTTCTCATATTTTTTTTCCAATTTTGTCATATTTTTGGCATATTTTCATTTTGAATTAAACATTTGGTAACATTTCTACTGCTTACAAAACTAAGTAGTTAGGATATCAGGATATCATATACAGATCGCATTTATGGCCCGATCCTTACGAAATTTTGCATGGGGATAAGATGAGGGTCAGAATAGAAGCCTACTCTTTTTGGAGATGATCGCCGTATATTTAGGGGTTGAAATGGACCAAAAAAACTGCAAAATTGTCAGCAGGTCGTAATTATCGCCCGCTCCTCACGCACATTTGAATGGGGGTTACCGGACATTGCAAAAGCCAAGCAGTTTTGGATGGCCATCCAAAAATATTCAATGTGTGAAGGAGTTTGCCAACTTTTGTAGACAAAATACGAAAATGTCCATTCCAGTGACTTTTTGGAGAATTCACAAATACAGGAATATTTGAAGAATATAGTAAAATGGCTGTATCTCATATAGATGTGTTTCAGTCAAAAACCAATAATAAATGTTAATCTTTTGCCACTTCTGAGAGATTATAGGTCTTTGGAAAATATTGGTTCCAGATCTAGGAAGACCATTTACGTGCAACATCTACCAATAAATTGGAAATGAGCAAATTAGTTAAAGTTGCTATTATTCGAAAATTAGAGAACGAAACCTGGTGGTTTTCTTTTATTATTTGTCACAATATCTTGTGGAAGTCTTTCGAGTATCTCGCCTATATAAACTGTATCGTTTATTGTAGTGTTGTAGGGTATTCAACGGTCGGCCCCGCTCGACTGTAGCCTTTGCTTACTTGTTTTAGATATAGAAATATTTTTTCATCTTACAAAACATGGGGTTATTATATACAGATTGCAATTATCGTCCGATCTTCACAAAAAATTTTAAAAGGGTAGGTTTAGGCTCAGAAGGGCTAGGCCTATTGTTTTCAAAGATGTCCGCAACATATTTTGGGGTTGAAATGGACCATCAACTAAAAATGTTCCTGATTTTGCAACCGTTATAAAGGCCACAAATAGAAACCAAAGGACATGAAATCTCTCAAGAGTTTAGGACAGCGGTTTGAATGGACCACTACTTTTGCGTGAAAAAATACCAACATTATTTAAAGGCGATATCCGAAATACACAAACGGTGAACTTCTGGCAATTTATGCTGATATCGTTGACGAATATAGCCAAATATCGTAGACAAGCAAGTCATAGGGATGACTCTAAATTTTGAGATACAGAGGGGCCTCTTGCTTTTGCAGATGATCGCAAAATATTTAGGGGGTTCAAATAAACCAAAAACAGAAAAATTTTCCTGATCACAAAATTGAAGCCAATCGACACGCCTGAAAAGAGAGTTAAGGACAGGGAAGAATTCTATCATTTTGAATGACCAGGATTATACTTAGCTGTTAAATGAACCACAACAACTAACAGCACTAGGGAGTACCTAAATATTGGACAAATGTCCCTGGTCAAAATGGTAGGGGTAATTTCTGGACAGTGCTCCATGACACAATTTCAAAGCGAAATCTTCCAAAATGGATTTGAACATAAGAGGGCTTCTAACATATTATAGTGTTGTAGGGTATCACAAGGTCGGCCCCGCACGTCTATAGCCTTTGCTTACATGTTTTAAATCTGAATTCGGTCGTATGTGTCAATATCCATTCAATTTGGGCTTATTTTAAAAATTTGATGCACTATAAACTTGAAATTGGATACAGATGTGTATGAACCGACCTCAAAATAAGAAGTTAAAAAGAATCAGTCGAATTTGCCTATGTCTGTGCATAAATTTTTAATTTTACATTATTATAATTCATCATCATCGTAGCAGACCTTTTGTTATTAAAAACAAGTAAAAAAGCTGTAAGCTTGGTCGGGCAGAACTTTGAACAGGCTCCACCATTTGGAACGAATTTCGCAATTTTCAAAAAATAAAAATAAAAGTATATACGACGACGTAGACCTGCATAGGCAAGTTCTGTCATAAGCCAATACAATATTCAAATTTGAAACTTAAAAAAACCGATAAATCATCAAAATACCGAATATGGGGAGGTACCGTTATATTGAGGCTATACGAAGACGTGAACCTGCACAGACAATTTTCTGTCTTAGGACGAAGTATCCATTACGAACTTCAAATACCAAATTTGAAACAATTCCGGTGAATAATGTCGCTAAAATTATCAAAATACCGAATATAGGGAGGTACTATTATATGGGGGGCTATACCAAAACGTGGACCTGCATAGACAAATTTCTGTCATAGGGTGGACCAGCACAGACAATTTTCTTTCAAATGCCAAACTTGAAACATTTCCGGTGAATAATGTCGTTTAAATCACCAAAATAACGAAAAAAGGGAGGTACCATTATATGGAAGCTATACCCCATTTTCGGTATCAAAAGTCCTGCAGACATAATACACATTTGAGTGAAATTTTATCAACCTACTTCATTTCGTTTGGAAGCTAGAGTAATTTCCACAGACGGACAGGCGGACGGACATCGCTAAATCGAAATAGAATTTTATGCTAATCAAGAATATATATACTTTGTGGGTACTAAAATGTATATTTCTAGGTGTTACAAACGGAATGACAAACTTAATATACCCCCATACTATGGTGGAGGGTATGAAAATATTCATAAAATATTACCCCATTGTTACGGATGTTTACCGATGATGCGCAAATAATTGACTTGAATATTTTTAACACTACCATCGATTTGTTTAAGAGCGACGTATTCACTCCTATCAACCATAAAAAGGTCAACATCTTATCACCATCATTCGCAATGTGATAAGGCGGAGAGGAATTTCAGAGGGATGTCGATGGAAATAATCTGCGAGAGATGTGGCCTCAAACTGTTGGTGTTCATGGGATTTATTTTGCATTGTTCGAAATTCGAAAGAAATTCAAATGCCTGATAAAGAAAGAAAATCCAACTGATTGCTAGTATTTTGCGAAGTATCAATTCTAGATTACAACAGTATCTGCGAATTAACTGGCTGTTGCGGAACGAAATGAAAGTATTGATTGTGTTATTTGCCATTGCAGTGGCGATTCAGGTGGGTTTTGAATTTGAAGCAATTTTCTCTCAATTTCTAAATTAAGCAACTTTTCAAAATATCATTTATAATAAATTTAGGCATCTCAAGCCTCGCCGCCGAACCGTGCCAAGCGCAGCGATCAATTTGTACAGCGTTTCGAAAAAATGGGCAGTTTGGCCAAGAATTTAATACCCCGTACTGAGGTTGTCATCCTAAATACCATTCAGAAAATACCCAAAACTAATTCGTACAATAAATATCGTCAGGATTTACAATCCTATGTGAATTATCTGAACCAATACAAAACGAAACGTGGAAAATGCTATGAAAAGTCCTTCGATCTCATTGGCAAATATGCCGAAACTATGGAACGCTATGACAAACCAAATGCCACCGAAGAGGCTCGTAGGGTGCGAAGCCTTTTAAAGGAATGTGGAAGTGAAACTTTGACCCGTGATTTGGATGAATGGATCGATGCCTATGAAAAGTCAAATTTTGATGTTGAATCACAAAAACTCACATCGGAGGATACTAGGAAAATTATGACCCTTTTGCAGGAAGTTTGTTAGTGTGGAGCGGTGAGATTTGATTGTGATGTAGTTGAAATAAAATTGTGATTGAGAAAGTATTAGAAATGTTTAGAAGTGAAAATAAAATTTTATGAAGTTGTGGAGGAGTTAAATCCGACCTCTGTATGAATTTGTATCAAAAATATTTAAATGTAATTCTTACTTATTTGCAGTGGAAAGATATTCCAAAATAAAACCAGTAAGTAAAAATCAAAAGTCGGGCGGGTCGAATATATGATACCCTATACCACTATGCGTATTTAGTAGAGCTCCCGTAACAAAAGAATTTATTTGAAGTAGATCATACTACCTATCAACATTTGGCTTTAGGGGGAACCGATATATGGAAGGCATATCCAATTCTGAATCGATTTTCTCTAAATTTGACGGAGACATTTCTTTCTTTTATACCAAATAATATTGCAATAGAGTGCATGATATCACTTCGAGAAGGATTATATTAAAAAAATATGTATCGGAGCCGAGTCCCACCAAATGGAAACGTATTTCCCGAAATTCACTCCATTTAGGCTGATATTAGCCATTATTTGTACAATAAATCTGAAAAAGGATTCATATCCTTATCCCATGGGAGTTATATCCAAATCTTAGCCGATCTTGATAAAATTTGTCAGAGGCATTTTCGAGCTATGTCTGATGGTCAGTATAAAATATAATTATTGTGGAGTACATATTACTCGTGTTAGGGACTTTGAATACCAAAGCGGATAAAACGTATGTATGGGAGGTATAGCTAAATCTGAACCAATTTTCACCAAAATTTTAAATGCATGCTTTTAGGCTTAATTTCTTTGGAAGTAGCAAAATTCGGTTCATTTGGTCAGATATTAGCCATTTGGTACATAATAAACCAGGAATCGGATAAAGATACATATTGGAGCTATATCTAAATTTGATCCGATCTCCATAAAATTTTACAAAGGTATTTCTGGGCTATATTTGATATCTGCTACCAAAGATTATTGTTGTCACATGCATATTACGCATGTAAGGAACTTAAAACCCCAAATCAGATGAAACATATATATGGGATCTATAGCTATATCTGAAACGATTTTCACCAAACTTGATGTACTTGCGTCTAGACTGAATTCGGTTGGATGTGCCGAAATTCGGGTAATTTGGACTGATATTGACCAATTAATGCACAATTACCCCGAAATCGGTTGGAGATATTTATGGGAGCTATACCTAAATTTGAACCGATTCTCAATAGGGTTCGTCCTTCATGGATTCGTCCTTCAATAGGATTCGTCCTTGAGGCAAACAAATATTGTTTGGAAAATTTCATCTCAATCGGATAATAAATGCGACCTGCATTTTGTTCACAAAAATACATGGACAGACGGACTGACATGCATAAATCGACTAAGAAAACGTTCCTATGAAGATCCTCAAAAGTAACTATGGGTCTATCGCGCTTTCTTCTCAATGTGCAGAAAGACATATTACCTTTACCACTATGTGGTGTAGGGTTTAAAAATACTGGTTATCCCCGATATGAGGCTGAACTATTTTCTCCCATGAAATGTGAAGCCGTATTCTGGCTCTCTACATAAAAGATGCGCTTCATGCAATGATGCACAACTTCTTACCTTACACATATTTTTCGTGTATTTAAGTGCGAATTTAAAACAAAAACGAACATTCACATTGGGCGCCATTTATGTTGCACAAATAATAATTGTCTTCTGTGAAGAGTTTTTCTAAACCAACCATAAATTTTCATACCTCTATGTTAAATGTTGCGAAATGTATCTCAAACTATTGGCGCCCTTTTGTTTATGATCAAAGCTTTAAAAAGGTCTTAAAAAAGTTTGATATAAGTACTCGAAACTCTTTTGGGGTTTTAATCTGCAAACTGAGTGGATCCACTTTGGATTTTCCATAACCTAAATTTTTGTACCCTCAGCCATATGGCTAAGGATGTTCTCCCGATCGTCCGTCTGTTTGGCTGGCTGGTGCTCACGATAACTCTCGAAGGTAGTTTTCCGATTTGGTCCAAACTTGGCACATCGTAATATTATTGTCAAACTTAGATCGAGTTCGCAGATGGACAATATCGGTCCACTCCTTCTGGTACCTCCCACACAAAATATCAAAATTTTCAAAGAAAATAATTTACTGCACACAAAGATAAAGTATAACCCTATTTTGCTCTAACCTTGCGAATCCTAATATTTGTATCAGTGCTAAGTTAGGGCGAAAATGGACAATATCGGTCCACTCTATCAAGTACATGCCCCAACCAGTAAGCAAAGGCTATAGTCGTGCGGGGCCGACTATGTTATACCCTACAACACTACAATATGTTAAAAGCCCCCTTATGTCCATTTCGATTTTGAAATTAGGATTTTGACTAGGGACATTTGCCCAATATTTTTGCACTCCGTCGGGCTGTTAGTTGTTGTAGTCCATTTTACAGCTAAATATAATCCAATGGCCATCCAAAATGCTTTAATTCTTCCCTGTCCTTAACTCTCTTCACAGGCGTGTCGATTGGCTTCAATTTTGTGATCTGGAAGTTTTTCTGTTGGTTCACTTGAACCTCTAAATATTTTGAGATCATCTCCAAAAGCAAGAAGCCCCTCCAACCCCCCTCCCAACCTGTGTTGTAAAGTGAAAAAATATTACAAAATATACCCTTATAAGTCAAATTGAAAAATCGCATGCGATAAAAAATATGAAAAAATAAAAATATGTCACAAAATACTAAAAAATCTATATTAATATCATTACAGGCGTCTTTTTATGCGTTTCTTTTTTAGATTTTATTATTTTATGCCATGAGGACATTCTGGATTGACAAAATTTGTCAAAATCTGTCCAGCCATTCTTGAGATATAAGCATTTTAGCTAACATCCCGTTCCTATGCATATATATATACATTGTATATATTTCGCTATATGTACCCGAAATATTTACTATCGGCATCTACATAACGGTCAGGATTGACCTGTTCGTCTATTTGTGATTTCGCCGGGATTAAAAATATTCGTGGTTTAATGGAAAATTTGATTATATTTAACTCAAATGTCACAACCTTTTTCACCCACTAAATATTACCCGATGACCATCAAAATTGAAAGGCTTCTGCCCAGCCCTGAGCGCTAGCCCCATGCTAACTTCCGCGTCGATTGGTCTATAATTGGAATTTTTTCATTTTTTGGTCCATTTCAACCCCTAAATATTATGCGATCATCTCCAAAAGAAATAGGGTTCTATTCTGACCCTATCCCCACCTTCATTCTGAATTTCGTGAAGATTGGACTATAATTGCGACCTGTAGAGTGATTACAAATTAACATGGACAGACGGACGGACGGACATACATAGCTAGATCGACTCAGCTCGGCGAGATAGGAAGATCCATATATACTTTCCTATGTGGGAAACAAATATTTCGAGGTGTTACATAATTTTTGGCCCAATCAAACTTATAATACCCCAAAACATAGTGTTGTAGGGTATACAAATATATCAATTTCAGTCGCAAATTTTAGCTTCGACATACAAAACGAACATACAAAAGAAAATTTCTAAAATCTGGTTCCAACTGAACTATATTTAGTACTTTTTTTGAAAATTACCAAAATAAAGGAAGATAAGGGTCTCTCTAATGCATGCGATATTTCAAGATTCTTGCTTTTTTAAATATAAAGGGTTGCCCATATTCGACGGACCCATCTGGCAACGCCATAACTTTTGACAGAGATGTCATATTGCTTAATGACATACCGCGTTTGAAGCGTCAGTCCAAGCAGATTTTTCAACAGAAGAAGTCAATTGTGAAAACTCAACGTGCTTTTAAAACATTAAAAAATGTGAGAAGTGCGCCTTCTAAGAACACCATTAAGCGTTTATACGAAAAATTTTCTACTGGTAAGGCTCTTTCTAATTCGAAGAGGCCATATAAAAGTCGACCAAAGCGATCGGCCGAGAATATCGCTGCCGTAAGAGCCAGTGTTGAGAGGTCCCCAAGAACATCCCAAAAACGCCGTTCTCAGCAGTTGGGCATGGCTCGGTCCACTTTACAACGGATTATTCGCATTGATTTGCATTTGTTCCCGTACAAAATTCAATTGACGCAAAGAATGTTGCCGGCGGACAAGCCTCGTCGATTGGAATGGCCCAAAGGGCCCAAAGGTCCGTCGAATATGGGCAACCCGTAGAGCATATCTGTAAAAACAGAGTCTTCTGTACTTTTAAGTACCTTTAGTACGACACTCCAAAAATACCAAAAAGAGTAATCTACATATGTACGTGTGTGAAATTTTAAGATTCTTCACCTGAAAGCCCAATGAAGACAGTCTTGACTACTTCTGAGTACAAATCCCAAAACAGCTAACCTATTGTCCACAAACTCGCCAAATTCCAAATTTGAAGATTCTAGGCTTTGCCGTTTTATCTAGATGCTCACATCTTACAACTTTATATACAGATATTTTTAAATAGTTTATATACAGTTCTTGGCTTCGATTCGGGAGTGAGATCAATAGTTTCTTCCCATTCTTTAAAATTTTACCTATTAAATAAGTTGGTGTCCATCTTGATTTCTCATACAGCATTCCTTTTTTAGAGTGTTTGTAAATGACAAACCCCCCAATAAATTTGCTTAAGTCGATGACATGCACAGATAAAATCGAACTGCAACTTTCCAACTGTAACAAAGTTCTTAAAGTCAATTTAATATTAAAACATCATTTAAATCCTCTAATCTTCTTTGAACAAAATCAAAGAAACTTTTGGTGTTGCCGAAAGAACCATCTAAGTTTCCCACAACTTACAATGGTTTTATGATCTATTTTAATACCCTGAGGGTATGAAAAGTTTTCGTTTGGCTTTTATTTTCAGCAAAATGTGTATGGGAAAAGATTGTGTTTTTTGGCAAAAGGACAATTGACCTCCCCTCCTTCCACCAACTTGTCTTGTGAGAATAACAGAAAAAAATAAAGTAAAAATACCAATCGACCGACAATAATCGACAGTTAGTTAAACATTTTATGGCATCACAATGGTCATATGTAACAGCCCCAAGGACGTTTGCGATTGTGGCAAGAGTGGGGGGAGTTGTTATAAACTGACCATAAAATGTGTAACGTTTTGAAGCTGTAGTTCTTTAT